TATACGCCGGAAGATAGGGTAAGTCATTCATCAGGCCTATGATGGAGTATGGAACTGTTATATTTTATCCTTATTTGCGCAAAACAGTTGATTATATGGAGAAAGTATAAAACAGTTTTACGCGCAAACTTTTTCTTCGCGCACTGGCTGCAGATATGGTCTCATACCAGAGAGTAAGACTCGTAATCTCAGATTGAAGCTTTCTTCTCTTGCTTATAGAAGGCGAAAACTTGACCTCCTCATGGCACATAAAATTGCATATGGATATTGCTATTTAGATTTTAATTCTCTTTTCCCCACGAGGAGATCCAACACAAGAGGTGGATGTAGCAAACTAGTCATATCCGGATCAAAGCTTAAGATTCGGAGGAATTTTCTCACTTGCCGCGTCACTCATGACATGGACAAGCTTCTTAGAAAACGATTATTTCCTGCTAGGTTGTCTTCGTTTAAGATTGTTCTAAGGAATTATCTACAGTCACAAGGTGGTATTGTTACTAACACGGGTTAGAGTACTACCAACTGAATTGTGCGGTTGTGTTGATATTGTTTGTTTTGATGTGTCTTTCTATGTTTTGCCATAGGGGTAACCTATGTAATAAATGAAATGTAATGAAAGTATTTTAGGTGACTCGCGATTCCGCACTAGTGCTACAGTGTGTTTCAACCGACTTTAGGACATCGGAATGGCGGGCTTCCGCTCCCGATTCGCACCGTATCGCAGCAACAGCATCATGTCGCGTCTCACAAATTCTTCAATCTCTGGCTGGTAAAATGCAGAATAAGTTCGCAGGGACCAAAAGCAGGCGCTCCGTTCTACATGAAAAACTTTGGCCTACACTGAAAAGACTATAACACTAATATATAAACCGCGTTCATCTATGACAGATTAATGATCAAGGAAGGTGTTTTGATTGTCGCGATCCATACCCAACTTCACCGTGATCATCATAGTGTTTGTCCTGAGATCTACATCAAAGTCCTGAACGAAGTCAAAATTGGCATGATGCGCGTCCGCAACACCAGGGTTCCGCGTCGCGTCTACAACTTGATTCATACCAACCTCCGGCTTAGTCCCGAATTGACGGACTAGGTTGTAAACACACTTGGCACTAGTGACTGCTTGTTATGCGCTCAATACGTTGCGGAAACCCTGGCATATGAAACGATTAAACATCTCTCTCTCAAAAAAAACCTTGTGTATTTGGATTCTGACTGTTTTTTTTTTCTATAATGTAAGGATTTCTTATGTTTTCCTGTGAGCATTGCCCTCGACGATTAGCGAAACGAGGTGCACGTGATCATTGCCGGAAGCATCGAGCAGCTGATCGCTTGAAAAGTTGCTTACTCAGTCTGCTGGCAACTTGATCAGTGCGAAGTTCACTGTACTATGTGACCTTAGCTTCTGCCGCCGTGACAAACTGATGTCAAGTGGATACAGTATAGGTGTTAGTTGAGGATGGTACTGACAAGGGAATGGTCAGAAGTCGAAGTGGCCAATCCATATAAGCTGCATACCAATCGATGCAGCATAGAATGCTGATTTCAAATCTGTCTTCCGTATCTGCAGAGCGCCTTTGTGGGCGAAGTTATGAGCAATTTTACTGCGAAAAAGTCGTCCACATAAACTGCGAAATTGAGCAGATCATTGCTCTTTTGGTTCACCTCTAGGTACGAGCCATATGAACTGATCTATAGGGGCCTGCAGGATCGCGAGAGTCGGACGTGCGTACGGCCATTGCGCCGCGCACGTCTGATGTCACTAAGGCAGGTGCCAGACTTATCCGCTTCAGCCGGTTCGTTCGGTTCATAGGTCAAATCACTACACTGTCCAACAGAAAAGGTGGTGAACCGAATGAACCGTTCAACAGGATAAGTCTGGCACCTAAATGAGTCGTCGGACGCACATCTGACGTGCGCGGCGCAATGGCCGTACGCACGTCCGACTCTCGCGATCCTGCAGGCCCCTATAGCTACATGTTTTGGTCCAACACTAAGCCGAGAATAGCTTTGTACGTCCAAGTTTGACCTTTACACGCACAATTCCTTAGCAAAATAATGACTTTTAACGGCTTATAATTTCGTCCACAAAAGCGCTCTGCAGATAAGGAAGACATATTTAGAGTCAGCGTTCTATGCTGCATCTAACTGTATGCAACTTGCCTGAATTGGCCACTTCGATTTCTGACCATTCCCTTGTGAGACGGACCGGTGAGTATAATCAGCGGAACAGAGTGATAGCAAACATCAGGTTCAGCTCCAGCTATTTCTCCAAACACATAGAGTCTCACAGTTAGCTTGAATATATATCCTGGTTCACTGAATGTAAGCATTTCCATATTTGGAGAGGAAGGTTATGCTCATTTCACGTGACCTCGCTGAAGGTAAAATGCTCCATTTACGTTCGGGACGCGGCGCGACTCTTTACATCTGGAGCAACGCATTTCCTTTAGACCAAGCATGGGATATTTGCCGTAGAAAGATTGACAGCCGGACTGACATTTTGACGCGGAACGAGGCTTGGGAAAGCTTCGATAATGGAATATATGAGCAGTGGAGAGCAGCATATTTAGTGGTGTGCACGGGATACCTGAAAGCTATTTATCCTAAAGATAGTAGAACGTTCAAAGAGAGGGTTATTAGAGGCTGAAATTGTCAGGTATACGTACTAGAAGCTCTGGTCATCTATTCTGTGGATGAATGCTGGCCCAACGTATTCCGGCCTCTCAGTTCAAGGACAACAATCACATCCAAGGCCCGTATGCAAGTATATCTTCCTAAAGAGGGGAGAGAATCTGACAAGAGAGAGGGGACGCGTCATATCTCCCTACTTTAGATATCTTTCTTCTTCATTCTCTATCTGCGTTATGATGGTTCTCATACCCTGATACCTGCGCATAATGGTTGCCAGGGTAGTGTCATACAAGATCAGCTTTTCACTATTTCGTGTGATCCCCTGGGGAGCCCAGCGGATGGCCTCTCATTTTTTCAAAGTCATTATCTTCCTACAATCTCAATGAAAACGGTAAAAATAAGTGCAATCTCAGGATGTCGAAATCTTCCAATAACCACTGCTCGCAAGCAACGGATTATCGGAAAATCCACAAATTTCAGATTCTATTTTCGTGTCGAAAACATGCTCAACAGTATCGTAGTATATCCTCAGTACAATTTTACACCGTTTTCAGTGAGTTTTCAGGAAGATGAATGACTTTGAAAATGAGAGTATTTTGAATAAATTTTCAATATTTTGGGTGATCCCTTATGGTTCCTCAGAGAATCACACAAAATACTGAAAATCTAATCTTGTATGGCAGTAATCTGGCATCCATTATGCGCAGATATCAGGGTATGAGAATGTTTATAAGTCAGATAAAAAAAGAGGAAAAAAGATATCTATAGTAGCGAAATATGACTCGTCCCCTCTTAGGCCCGTATGCACGTACATCCCCGCGGGGAGGGGAGGGGATCAGAGAGGGGAAGCGTCATGTCTCGCTAGTCTATGTATCTTTCTTCTTCTTTCTCTGTCTTGGTTTTGAAGGTTCTCATACACTGATACTTGCGCATAACGGACGCCAGGTTACTGCCATACAAGTTTAGATAATCACTATTTCTTCTGATCCCCTGGGGATCCCCAGGGGATCACCTCACATTTTCAAAGTTATTTATCTTTCTGAAAACTCGATGAAAATGTTCTAAAATTGTACTGTGGATATACTGCAGCACTGCTAAACATATTTATGGTAGAAATGAGTGAAATCTCAAGATATCAAAATCTTCGATGAACCGCTGCTCGCGAGCCAGGAATTATCGAAAAAATCAAAATCTCCAGATTCAATTTCTTCTGTCGAAAACATGCTCAGCAGTACCGTACTATATCTTCAGTGCAATTTTGCGGCGTTTTCATTCATTTTTTAGGAAGATAAACGACTTTGAAAATGTGAGATGATCCCCTGGGAATCCCCAGGGGATCGGAAGAAATAGTCAATATTTGATCTTGTATAGCAGTAACCTGGCATCTATTATGCGCAGGTATAAGGGTATGAGAACCCTCGTAAGCACGATAAAGAAGAAAGATATCTAGAGCAGCGAGATATGGCGCTTCCCCTCTCAGATCCCCTCCCTTCCCCATGGGGATGTACCTGCATACGGGCCCAAAAAGAAGTTCCCTTTGAGTTTCTTCCTATATACCGTTGGTACCCTTAGCCGTGATATGGATAATTAATCTTGAAATAACATTCTTAGATGTATAAGTTACTACTTTGTTGAAGGTTTTTCGGATTTCCATGGATTTTCATGCCTAGCTTAGGTATACGTCGTAAGAGAAGCGAGTTCACTTCTCCAAAGCAATGTTTGCATGCGCTGTAGACGACTGAAGTACGATTGAAGTTCCTTTGATTTGACAGCATAACGCTACTACGGATTGAAAGCATTTTCCTCAGATGTTTTCAAATACAAATTTAAACTTGAGCAAGCCCGCGGTGGAGCTTGCTCACGTTATTTGACAAGATAAAGTAATATTTTAGACAGTGGATTGCGCGCTGAATCTTGGGACATACTGAAATCTTGACTGCGTTACTTTACATCAGAATACTCCCTTTTGCAAACAAAAACTATGTGATATGGTTAGGTATGATAGAGCTTGGGCAACGGCTTAGCTTGGTGTTTGTGGTTTCAATCACAGATACATTGCAGTTGGTTCCCGCGTACCGTTTCCGAATGCTCCTTAGGCGTAATGAATGAAGACACCGACTTGTTTACACGCAACTGAGCACCATTGTACTGAGCACCAACTTCTATACATTATCAGCGATACCAATCAGAGTAATTCGAAGATGCTAAAGAAAGACAATGAACTACTTATGAGAAATTCTTCAATGACTTCTTATACAAAGTGAGCAGTACACTCTTCATAGTCAGACTGTGAACGCCTTTGACCGGAGTGCTTTACATGCTCCACGGGCGAGACAGTTGCCAACCGCAGCGCAACAGAGGACGCGAGCGACATTATAGATGGACCGTTGCCATCGATGACATCAACGTAATCTCCAAAAGTTACTCAGAAGTAAGTAAGTTCATTAAACGGTTGAGAAATGCTGCAGTTCAAGGATATGTCGCTGTCATTACTTTCCATCCTTTGGTCGCCTTTGCTTATCACATTTTACTGAGCGGTTTGAGGTCTTCTGCTGCTTTGGCTGCACTACTTTCTCGTTCTGCTTTGTTCCGTACTGCAATTTGTCGCAAGAGTTAGTATTTCTCTCACTCATGAGATGCGCTCCTTATTGCCTTAACCTTTATAAGCTCGTTTGAACCACGTGAAACTTTGCAATTAACTTTTTTCCTAATCTTCACTGTTATAGGAGGAGCGTTAGAGGGTGGGCCAACGATGACTCCGGAGCAAGTACGGGCCATGAGTGCGAAAGCCGATGAGGAACGTCGTCGCATGAAGAATAACATATTACAACAATCACAGGCAGCCGTACCTCAAACTCACGCACCACTTTCTCAACTTCAAACAACGGCAGCTGCTCAGAAAGGTAGTGTTTTTCTATTTAGTCCTCGTTCGTCGATGTTTACGAATAGTTCGCCTTCATTTTGCACTTTTGTAAATCGCCAGTTTTTTTCGGGTACTTCTGTTCCTTTTTCACCATTTTCTATTGAAACCTGGGTTTGCCATACTTGGCTGATCTGCGTCTCAACGAAAGAAGTTTTATTTTCTGCTTCGAGGAATTTCGAAGAATTTGCTCATTTGTCAGATTTGTTGCTTCTTGGATGCCTTGCGATCGGCGTGCTGATCGCAGTGCATCTACCACGCAAATCTGCTCTCTGCCTGCCAAGGGCAAACTGGTTTCGTTGCATATCTGCATTGTTTGTCTCGTGACCTAAGAGCTGATACTAGCGATGCGCGCGAGCCCAAGTTTCAAAGAATGGTATGGTCTTCAACTTTTCGAATATGAGCGCTAAATCAAAAATGCTTTGGTTGTGAGCCAGGTACGTCTACGTAGAGTGATCATTTTTTGTCTGTTAGTGTGTAAAAGTGATTAGAAAAGTACATATAGTTGTCTGCTCACAAATGGCGGTGACACAAAATGAGTAACCCTATATGCTTAGCCTTTTTTGTGTTCCTAGCAATTAAGATGCAGTTTTGCTTCAGTATGGGTATGTGCCCAGTTTGTGTTAGTGAAAATCTCGCGTAAGAAACAAGAAATTTATAAGTCGTATATATATATGTCGTGTATAAGTTATCATAACTACTCATTTGCTCTACTAGAGAGCTTGCGGAATCATGACACCATTCCGTGATTTTCTTGAATTAATAAACTCATTTGTGCGAATGCTTTGTCAATGTGCATACGCGGCGCTTTCCCCAAGAAGACGTTATCAGAGTTTATAAAATTTCTTACGTTACGCAGATGAGTTTGAGATACTTAAATCCTAGAATTAAGTGGAGCGCACTTTGAAATCCCGGAAGAATGAAGATAACTCCCTCATATAGCGTTGCATCGGCAAATCGTTTTTGTTTTTGCTCATTGAGCTGTGCCTCTGATATCATGATTTGTCCCATTCGTCGTTTAATTTTGTCATACTGGAAGCCGATGTAGATACCAAATAGAAAAACAAAGTGCTATAGCTCGTCACTTACTTTGAAGCTAGGTAATTTTCTGGACTATGTAGAAGACTTTTTTCCGCTAACCCTTATTTTGTGCTGCGATCTTCAGATGGACAGTATGTTTGAATGCTTCTTCTTTATTTCTTTTGATTTTCTTCATATTTCTTCCTCTGAATCGATAATGGGCTTCTAAAAGGTAATTTTCAAAACATCTTTCGTTTATAGTCGCGGACGATTGCACGATTGCCCCAGAGAAGATCTACCGCAATCATGCCGAGGCTCCAATCAGGAAATTGACGTGTGATCTAATCAAAACCTACAAAAATATCAATGAGGTATGTCTGAATGGCTGGAAACTAAGGGTGGAACAAAAAACCTAACATAAATTAAGTTGTGTATATTTTTTCTAACTGGCTGGTGCTTTTCGTTTTGCTCACGAAAAGATTTGATGTCTATTGCATGCTGTATAGCACATTGTTAGTCACATTGTTGTACACAATGGTCTCATCATCAAGCACGATTCCACTTTTCGTTGGGCAGTAAGTATAACATGTCTGAACAGAGCTGCTAGCCGTTACTTGCTTGCATCTTCCATAATGATGTTTGAAGTATCTAACTTCTCAAGTGAGCAACTGTAAAGTTGTCGCATGAACATTTAGTCGTTTTACCTTCGCAAAGCTCTTCGACGACAAGAACACCAAGCTAATGTGCAGGCAACTCATAACAATTCCTTGTCTACTGCGATTGGAGCTAATCAGGTATGGGCTAAGACTTGAATTGTTGACACTGAATGATTATGTTCAGTTGCATAATGCTTCAACTGCAACACATACCCAAGGCACCGCTCCCAGCATTCCAGGAAATCTAGAAGTGCAGCACACATCAGCTCCAAAGGGGTACGTTTCCGTTCCCGTTTACCTTGTTTTATTTGTATTGTCAAAGGGTTACCCTGCTTGCCTGTAGTGTATTTGGGCTTTTGTATATTTTGAAGTTCATTTGGTATTTAGTCCCCTAGTGGTTGTTTTCTAGGCTGCCTCATTTTGACACAAATGCTCCGCCTGCTTCTCAGATGGTGGTTCCTGCTGTACCAGAGAGTGAGGCGAACAGGAATCGACAGAAATCGAGCAGGTAAGAATAATCGTTTTGTTAAATTTTCCACTATCTGTATTTATTTGCCGCCATAGCCCTTGTTGTTAGATTTTCCACTATCTGTATTTATTTGTCGCCATAGCCCTTGTTGCTCTCTTTCTCTCTCCATCAGTTAATACCTTGTAGACAAATGCTGCTCTACTAGCTGTCGACTACAACCATCCAGCTAAAGCTGTTTGGGGTGTATGTCAAGAGGCGTGATTCTTTTGCCAGATGGAGACCAATTAGCGCATTTTTGGTGTTATCTTCTAGAACAAAATGTTAGGAGAGAAGAAGCAGACTCAGGCTGGGTTTTACTCATTCGGAAGTTTCGGATCAGTTCCAACAAAGTTCTCGCAGTGTGTTGGAAGTGTGCTGCATGAGCTGCAGTCGCCATGCGGTTTTGAGCGGCGATAGTGAGAAATTTTCGACTGTTTTCAACATTTTCACCCGGATTTCACTCATTTCGATCTCATTTCTCTACCCCTTCTCGTTGTGATAAGAAAAGCTGCAAACTCGAAGAAGTTTAGAGCATGAGCGCAGTCCTGCTATGTATTCGTGAAGATGTGTCTTCCTGCGTTCGTCTATTCTTCCTTCGTTGTTTAGACCCTATTTCATGTGTTCCAGGAAACCGTTGCGTAGTTCTGAATCTGTATTGAGAGGTGAATAGACAGTTTTTTAAAACAGATGAAGTAGGTCTGAACAAAAATGACCGAGAGAGAATGGACGAACGCACGAAAACCCGTCTTCTCGGATACGTGGAACAGAACAACATTCTTCCTTCAACCCTGCTTCATGTTCGCAGCTTTTCTCATCACAAGGAGAAGGGTACAGTCGAGTAGATTTTCCCCTTAATATATTGTGTTTGCACTGAAGGTGAAATGCGGTAAAACTTGCGCGTGAATAAATCGGTGCTCCTGTGACGCCGACCATTTGCGCGCGCTAGAGGCTGGCATTAGTGGCGTGGCTATTTGTTCACGCGCAAACTTTACCGCATCTCACCTTCAGTGCAAGCACACTATATCAAGCGGAAAATCTACTCGACTTTAGAGAAATGAGACTGAAAGAGTGAAATAAAGAAAAACCGTTGAAAACGGCCAAAAATCGCCAACTCCCGCCGATCAAAACCGCATGCGGGCGACTGCAGCGCATGCACAGTGTGAGAGCTGTGCTGGAACTGTTCCGGAACTTCCGGATCAGTATGAACCAAGCCTTGGACGTAGAAAAGAAATCAAGAAAATTTTGAAAATTTTGTGAACAAAAATGTCGTAAAGTTGCTGGCTATGTGTGCATTTGCGGAATTAATCATGCTTATATTAGACCCTGCTGTGCCCTACGTATGGACCAATCTGGAGATTTTGGGAAGCTTTTGGGTTTTTTTACACTTGTAGACAAAAACTGCAGCAAAAGTAGTCCGCCAAAGATTCAAAACACGTATGGGTCAAAAAGCCTTGAAGATGTAACTAGTGGCAATTTCGTAATTTCTGATTAACTTGTCATCAATAGCCGTTAGACTTAGCATGATTACTTCGGGTAATAAGCTAAAAAACACTGTATGTATGTTTTTGGTAGACTTCCATAGCTCTAAATTGGCTGTTGATTTATGACCTCTATAGAAATCGCGCCTCTTGACCGTCTCCCGGCTGTTTGTACGTTAACCCTTGAGTTATCTAGTCCTTGTGGGTCACTGAACATCAGATCCAGGCCATGTTGTAGTAAGTTTAGGAACCAGTGACTTCATCACACACATGTCGAAGTAATTTTTTCAATTACCCAAATTCCAGAGGAGGTCCGCACAATGGTGGTTACGATGACGAAAATTACGATTACATTCTGAAAGATGGAGAGTGTTTCAATACCAGGTAATCCACATTCATCGTCTTGAGATGTCGTGCTAATCTGCTTGTTTTTTTAGATATATCATTCTTACGGAGAAACCTATAGGAAAAGGGTCTTTTGGACAGGTCACACGAGCATATGACACAGTTGCAAAAGAAGATGTGGCAATAAAAATTATAAAGAACAAAAAGACCTTTTTTGATCAAGCGCAAATCGAGATTAAGTTACTAGAGATGATGAGAGCTCACGACACTGAACGGAAATACAACGTTGGTGAGTCTTATGCGCTTGCCATACAACTAAAGAAATTCGCATCTGTTTCAGTTTTACTCAAAGGACACTTTGTTCATAGGAATCACCTTTGCCTTGTCTTTGAACTTCTTTCGTACAATCTATACGATCTTTTGAGAAATACCAATTTTCGTGGTGTTTCGCTCAACCTCACTAGGAAATTTGCGCAGCAGGTAGGTATGAAACAGATCTAGCGTCGCTCACTCTTTTGATTTAGCTGACGAAGACGCTTCTGTTCCTTTCATCTCCCGAGCTGTCCATCATCCACTGTGATCTCAAACCAGAAAACGTCCTTCTTTGCAATCCTAAACGTTCGAAGATCAATATTATTGATTTTGGATCCTCTTGCCAGATTGGTCACCGTATATACCAATATATTCAATCAAGGTTGGTTCTTCTCAGTGCCTGCTCTGTGTGGCACTGATAGTCGCATGCGTTCCATACCTTTTGGTCTCGAAAATGCTCAGGAATTTCTTGTCTTTCCGCCTTGAAAAGATGCGACATGGGAAGTGTGGTTACACAAAGATGAAATGTGAAAATGCTAAAGTTGCTAAATTTTCTAGGTTCTATCGTTCCCCGGAAGTGTTGTTAGGAATTGCCTATGATACTAAGATTGACATGTGGTCATTAGGTTGGTGTCATCTTTCTAAACGTTTCTAATTTCTTAACAAATACTTTGAGGATGTATATTGGTTGAAATGCATACCGGCGAACCCCTGTTTGCTGGCTCCTCAGAAGTTGATCAAATGATGAAAATTGTTGAAGTACTTGGTATGCCTCCAAAGGAGCTATTGGACATTGGTCCAAAGACTCACAAGTACTTCGAGAAGACAGAAGGTAGCTACTGTTCGTTGGATTTACTCTACGAGGAAATATATATCTTTATTGTTACATATATATTCAAGACGGTGTCTACTACTGTAAGAAGACCCGCGATAACTTCAACAAATGTTATCGTGGTCCCGGACATAGGAAACTCCATGATATACTTGGTGTCACATCTGGTGGTCCGAACGGTCGACGTGCCGGCGAAGCAGGGCATTCTGTTGAAGAGTACAGTAAATTCAAGGTTACTTTCTGCAATTACCCGCAACGTCCCTTAGTAAATAAGTAGTCAGATCGTTACTACTATGCGTTTTTTCAGTACCCTACCAAGGTAGTAGTTATATTTGTGATATATACTATTGTTTAGGACCTGATTAAACGAATGCTAACATATGACCCCAAACTGCGTATCTCACCGTATTATGCAGTTCGTCATCCATTTCTCAGGCCGAAGACAACATCGCAAACTGGACAGTCTCCCGCAGCGGTCGATAGTCCAACAGTAAGCTCTTTCAGAATTATCACAGTCATTACTTGGTTAAGTTTGAGATAGTTTCGTGGGTCAACGGTCAAGTTTTTGTTTTCTTGTGACCTTTAAAATTAGTCCGCTACCATGTTCGATCTTGCATTTCGTCGTGGAGTCTCATATACTACTGTCTGTCTGTCACACTGATCGTATTGTTTTTTCAATGATTTCCAACAATGAGCGAAGTGATTTTGTGATCGTTCAAAGGCGCATACCTGAGCTATCGATTTTGGTGGGCGGAATATGTACGGATAAGCGCTGCTAAAATAAATATTACTTCGCGGAAAATCTCCTTATGATTTCACCCACTGGGAGGTTCGTTTATTCGACGTGGCTCTTCAAATAAGTCCTATACCGCTTTGAAGAGCATTGAACGCTAACACCAAATGTATTTTCTTTTTCTGCCAAGCGCCTCTGGACGCCGAGTTGTGAGCGTTTTTTGGAGCATAAAATGAGCGCAGAATCAGGTAACATCAACCGATACGGACTAACCAGCGCTCAAGTAGAGCAGTTTTGAGTATGAGTGTGTAAGACAGAGAGTTACCTGAATGAAATGTTTTGATTATTAGCCCTGCATCATTTCATCATCACCAATTCTGGATTTGTTCGTGCTGTGCATTCAATTTTTCAACTCCACAAATGCTCATAACCTAGCAGAAGCGTTTGGCAGATAGAACAGGTTTGGAATTATCTTTGCTCTTCAGAGCGGTATAGGAGTTGCATAAAAAAGTCACTTCGGCTAAATGGACCTTCCTTGTCAGAGACGTGTGTGTTAGTAGTTCTCGCTTTTCTTTCAAAGGGGACGGGATGGATTTTGAGGTATCGTGCAAACGGCAAAAATGCAAGGCAGACAGTGATCTTCCGTGATATTTTCGCAATTTCCATACGCTATAAGCGCAATATAATACCGCTCATAGAATGTGCAATATTTCCCGTGAATATCGCGGAATTCCGGGATTTTCGCGAAATAGCCGGATTTTCGCGGATCTACGCGAATCACGCAAACTACGCAGCGACATAACTTCCTTCGAAATGAATACATTCCGAATCCGAAAGCAGCATTGTGTTCAGCTGATCAAGGCGAATCTTTTGATTTACAGCATGTTCTCGATATTTCGTTTCCAGTTTTCTTAAATTCTTCTGGGAGGTCCTTCCGCAAGAATGTAGCGCGGCGCCTATCCAACGTAAGCACATACCAGCAAATACTATTTGATAGTATTCTTCTTGTAGATTACAATGCGCTAGAAAGCAATCGCAGACTTTTTTCAGAAAGAGATGGAAGCGTTGGTAAATTCTGGAAAAATCACGCGCTTCCAAAATTCTACTCGCCATAACTTCCTTCAGAATAAATATATCCCGAATCCGAAAAAAGCATTGTACTCAGCTCATCAAGAGGAATCTTTCGATTTATAGCATGTCCTTGACATTCCGATTTCGCTGTTCCTGAATCTTTCTGCGGACGTCTCTTCGCAAAGGTGTAAAGAAGCGCGCATTGCCCCTAGTAGATTCCAGCGAAAACCTTCCGACGGTACTTCTTCAGTACATTATGGAGCGTTAAAAAGTGCTGAATTATGGAAAAATCATGTCGTTCCAAAATTACTCACTATAACCCTAAAATATGAATCTCTTTTGCTAAGCAGATGTGATTTTTGTAATCAGCAGGTCGGATAACCTTTATGAGTAAGTTCTCCGAGATTTTGGGATTATTTAATTTTTTTCTCGTTTTACGCTCTGAAGCTCGCCGGTGGATTTTGGTCAAAATGTTGCTGATCTTGTATTGAAAGAAAACTTTGCTTAGAGAGGTTTTCGCACACCTGTTCACGAAAATCGTGGTTTTTGAGGAATACAGGGACTTTCTGCAGAGATATGGTGATGTAACTGTAATTGAGTTACGAAAGTTCATAACTTCGCCTACACTTCTCGCGTATCCTCCGCAGAACTTGCCTGCTTGCTTATACAGCTTAAAGTTACTAGAAAATGTGCCATCGAATGGTGAATGTCTCGTGTTCCAGCCTGTAAAAATCGCCGAGTCACGAGCCTACGAAAATAAGTCCTCATGAATCTTGCTCAAAATGTAAAGATCGCACACTTTGTCGAAATTTCACCATGAGTGGTTGTATGAGACGATCAAATCTGTTCACATCGCTCAATGGATCTTCCTGCGTTAAATTTGATAGTTAGATAGATCTGAGCTCTAACTGCGAAACTGCTTTGATATTTAATTAAGCAACTAAAGCACACGCAACCACCACATTCATTCAATACAGTGGGATCCCTTGGCCGAAGTGAACACGAAGACAGGAATGTTTTTACTTTTTTTGCATATTGATCATAGATAGGTTATGTAGGCTGACTCAACCTGGAGGAATGAACTCCGCTACTTTGGGAACCGGATTTGGCGATGCTTTTCTTGTCGGTTTAGGACCAATATTTCGCAAAGGCGGCCCACATTGCGGAGTTTCCTTGCCCCTTTCAGCTCATCTTAAGTGGGACTAGCGATGCTTAAGAAATGATCAACAATCTCTCATGTGGAGGCACGTAAGATGAATAGTGAAAATTGTTTACAATAAAAATAATGTTTAGGCATTACTAAACTAACAGTAAGAACCGTACGACGTCCGACCTTACCCGCACAGGTGATAAGCAATCATGAAATGCGTGCGTCTAAAGACTACCCTCGATGGCCATACAGTCGCCAGCTTCAAGAGCCACATGGACGGTCGTTCCTTGTCACTCGCGCGGCGCAATCTCTCGATTAAATAGGCCTCTTTTGAGGGTTTATTTTGCAAGCATGTTCTAGCTGAGATTTTATACCGGCTGTTGGCCTCTATAATGAGAGGATTAGGTAGTACTGAAGTTTGTTGCCTGTACCCTGTTTGTTGAAACTGCAGTGACCGTCGGTAAACCAATATGCTTGGTCATTTTCAATCACGCGAGGAGCAGAGCCTACAAATAGTCGAACGCCTTTATCAAATCTGAATAGGGAAAGAAAACCATGTGTATGTACAGGCTTCGTGTGAATTGTGAAAATTGAAGTTTGTGTAAATACAGTAACTCGAAATCGTTCCGGAAGTTACGATTTCTGATAGTATCAGTGTTGCAGCATCAAACAGCGTCGAGGACTGGTCAGGACGTATGGGGTAGTCAGATGGATTGCAGTGAAGATATCACACAGTCCACATTTGCGTACGCTAGTTTTCTTCCACAGGATATCACCAGTCATAAGTGACCAGTAAATTACGAGTTCCAGAGCTCCCTCAACAGCGGCACCTCTACCGCAGCCACCAACAACTAGTCAAAGAAAACCGGCAGTAGACGACACACCACAGTTTGGCGGTCATTATTCGCATTCCACAGGAGATGTCTACCGCCAACCTTCAGTTGGTATCTAGTCGCAGCCTACTGTTTTTTGAGCTGCGCACAATTACATTTTCAGGGTCCACAGCCGCATCGAAACCCAAGCTTCGATGAGACTCCTGGTCGACCGTACAACAATAAAGTGCAAACGCTTCTATCCCAAGCGGCAGTACCTACGCATGTCAACAGCTCGCAATATAATCCTGTTCTATACAACTGATAAGTTGTCGATTTCTGAAGCTTTAGCAATCATCATGGTGCTAGTCGATGCTGCCCACCCTTCTTCTTCCCACTAGCATAGGTTGATATAAAATAGGCTACGGTTGTGCAACTTCAAGTTGGGATAAACGGAAGTACGGAGATCCGTACCATTTTGGAAGGTTATGTCAAGTTTCTAGGAGAAAACAACTCACAGCGAGTATGTAGCACTTTTAGTTCTTCATATGTGAAACAAGATCTTACGCTTTGTTATTTACTGATTCAAGCGTTGTTGAGATCCCCTTGGCAACATCGTCTTTCTGCCTCTTGAATCATATTCATTTTTCTATTGTATTATCAAACTGGTTCATTCAGTGATTGGAATTGAAAGCACTCACTATTGGCTGCGTATGTTGTTTATATTTTTATATTTTATATTTGGGTACGACATTGTCCACGTTTTTATTTCATTGAGATATCTCGGAATCGTTATCTTTCCAATTGCAGTGATATCAAACAAGCATAATCAAATCCATGGTCATCTATCGCGAACGGCGAGATAATCCTCACATGATAATGATTATGAGGGGCTAAAATCACGGTCTTTCTCTTTATTTTTTCTCGCGTTCCTTTGTATGCAGTAGCAGGCATGATTCATGTTCGGCCTTTTTGATGTATACCATCTATACTTCGGTGCAAGGCTTCATAATCATTGTTATTGGAAATGCTTGGCTATGCCACTCGTAGATTACTATAAACTGATCGCTATAGTATACTTTTGAGTTGATTCGAGGTTTGCCACAGCAGACAACGTAGGCGGCTGAGCGCTCTTTGTTTTTGGCAAAGTCATTTAGGTACAATTGATCACGCATTCCTGCGTCATGATGTACTGTAAATTGTGGCAAAAATTACTGCTGCACAACAGCGTCATGCTGCGACGTGCACAGTAGCAAAAACCAAACTATAATGTAGAAAATTCTTCTTCAATAATGTACTTGCGATACGAAATTGGGGGACTAATTTTGCCATGAACAAATATCCGCGCCACGATAGCAGTATTTTGCGTGCGCCTGTATCCGCTTGTATCACATGTGTACTTATCGTCCCTTCCACAGTTGTTGCTACCCTTGGTATGCGTTTCTGACTTGCGGCACGCTTGGCCAGTATGTTGGCAACATGCGGCAACCCGCTGGCGCTGAGGCTGATAGCCAAAATGTTCTGCCAACATGTTGTTGCATGTTGCAAACATGTTGCTGCACCTTGCCAACATGTTATCCATACGTGCCGCAAAACAGAGACGCAGACAAAGGGTAGCAACGTGGAAGGGACTACATTTGCTTACCCTTAAGTTTAGTCGGCCATTCTCAGCACTGCGACCACACTATATATATAGCTCAAATCTACCAGACATTGTAGTGATTGTCATGCTACTGCTGCGCTGTTCTTCAATGAAGTGTGAGCATACTGTGAGGAAATTTGACTAGCTTGGACTAGAAAAAAATGCTCTTGAAAGGCAAAGTTCTCGCATATACGTCGATGATGACTTAGTTTCTTTCAAACTCGCTTGTTTGAATGTGCCAGTAACAAGACGATTCTGAAGATGAAGTTTTTCTTTACTCGATCAAACTACTTTTCGCACTTCGTTATTACATCACGGTTAGAGTACTGTCAGCGATTGTTTGTCCATAATGTTGGTACTGATTGGAAATTTTTCTGATTTTCCGGTCTTTGTCATTTGTTCCTTTTAGAATCTACGTAGCAATCATTAATTCACTTTGCTCACTGACTGGTTCTTCGAAGTTGAATCAATTTGAGTGTTCTAAACTTGGCGAATGTTCATTACTAAGGTCTGTATTGTACATAGCTGTCTAGTATGTAAATAAATTACCTGCTCTTCTGTCTGCACAGTATCATTATAACGAGTTTTCGTCGCTATCTGTCGTGTTTGAGGAGCCTACTTGAGCCGTCGCTATCAAATCAAGTTTTGTTTGATTCGAAAAGCAACACTATGTAGAATAATTCTAGAGTCTGGTATAACAACACTAAGCCAGACTTTGGAACACTTATGGTAATCAGAGCATTGATGGAAGGATAACGACATTGCAAACTACAATTATGTAACCCAAAGTTTTGCACCTGATGCTCACCATTCAGAAGATGTGAAAATTTGGACGAGTTTCCTGCCCTGCTGCTAACGCTGCCTTCCGTACGACTTTCAAGGGAATGGTCAGAAATCGAAGTGACCAATTCAAGCAAGCTGCTATCATCAGATGCAGCCTAAAACGCTGACGATGAATCTGTCCTCTTTATCTGCAATACACTTTTGTGGATGAAATTGTAAGACGTTGAAAGTATCGTCCATTCGTTGACTGTACGGACTGGGCATAACCGCGGAGCACGCGCCGCGAGGTAAAACGCTTGCTCCGATTCAAACTCGCCATTGTTGAAATCGTGCTATCGCAACATTTTAACCGCGCCGCGCGTGGTCCGTAGCGTTTGAGCAGTCCGTACGGCCAACGAATCGACGATAATTATTTTGCTAAGAAATCGTGGCGTATAAGGCAAACTTGGTTGTACAGAGCCATTGTCGGCTCATTGCGGACCGAGACATGCAACTAGGTACTTCATGTCCGTATCTAGAGGTGAGCTAAATGCAGTCCTCATGTACAATTTTTTCGCAGTAAAGCTGCTCGTAACTTTGCCTGCAAAGGCGTTCTGTAGATATGAAAAACAGATTTGAAATCAGCGTTCTATGCTGCATCAAACGATATGCAGTTTGCTTGGATTGGCCACTTCGACTTCTGACCATTCCCTTGTTAGTGCAGCGCTGCATTGCCGCAAACTCTAATTGACATCTACAAGTAAACGCCTTTCAGCATCATACGACCTTTCCTACTGGAAGTTGGAAGGAATGTATCATGCATCCGTGCTAACCACGAGCGCAAGTTGCACAGATTCTGATTTTCTGACGCTCACTTTCAGGTTACAGAGCTAGGCACGTGCTGGCTTCAAGCATTTTTGAAAACGAAGTCCTCATGTCTCCGCTATCCAGGAGCCCCCTTTGAAGTACCACGTGATTAGATGGGTGCCCCAAAAAATCAAATACAACGAGGAGATGACCATCTGTTTCGGAACCTGATTCATTAACAACAGAAACATCAGTTTGTACAAAATTGTGCAAGAAAAACTACAGAAAACACTAATTTAGCTTTGACAGAAACGGTTATAGCATTGTATATAAAAAAGGAGTCCAAAAGCCTACTTCACTCTTGAAGGCACTGTCCACCTTAAATTAGGGGTCATGAGCTCTTAACAACTTACGATAGTAGGACCACTGTGAAGCCAATGCCCAAGTCGCGGCGCAAAGTGTCGCTTTGGAAGCGAGAAATTTGTTCCGGAATAGCGAAGAGGCATGAGGACCCCATGTCGGCACCGCCCCCTTCAGTAACTCCCGCCCTACATGCGCGCGCATCCAATCACCATTCCGGAAAACCGGCATGCGGGTTCCTAGGAACGGGGATTGTCGGGGTTTTAGCGGATTCTCGACATCATACAGAATCAGGGACATGAGAATGCCCCGGAACGACCGAAACATGAAAGTTGAGGATCTGGGTGGACGGTATCTTTAACATCTCAGAAAACTCAGTCGTAAGCTGAAGCGCGATATTTGACAGAACTTATCAATTTAGATCTAATTATGGCGTAGAAATAGAGGCAGTACTCTTGTTCGCTCTCTTCACTAAATGATAGATTTTTGAGCGTTCAAATAGTCCACAGTCTGAGAAATTGTGGAAGAGAAAACCAGCTAGTTGTTGTCAAAAAGGTAGGGTAACTTATTAACTTGCCGAGTATTCCAAAAAGCCAAGGTTCTAGTCTAAAACACTAATTTTATTGCTCCTTACCACCCTGGTAATCTCTCTTGCTCCTGTGTCTTCCGCCGTAGGCACGACTTCGGATCTGGCTTCACAGGTCCACACGCAATCACCAATCGTTCTTAGCTGTGGGATTACGGTAGGAGTTTTAAGCAAATAACGCCATCTTAAGTAAGTCTTAAAGTTCCACAGTAGAAATCTGAAAAACTGTATAGCATTATCTCCGTGCATTCCAACCCCATTACTCAAATTTTTATGATTCATCAAAGCTAGTGATGTTAATTTTTGAGAAACATTGAAAAACTTGCACGGTGTGCCTGGTGTAACTTTTAAACGACGCATTACGGAGGAATGCACACATACTCAAAGTCAGTGTTGATTAGGATAGTGTAAGGGTTTTTAGCTTGTTGATTTTCTTGAGGCAAAGTACGTCTCTGGTTTTGCTACCCTAGCCTTTCACTGTTGGCAGGCTATCGATGACATGCTTAACACATTGACGACCGAACCATTTTTGACCACATCAAAATGGACTGATGATCTACTGCTGCGGTTCGGACTGTTTAACAGCTACCGCAATGCCTTGTGTTCTATATGACAATCAGGCCACCAGTGTTATCATTGCATAGAAATTAGCTGAGAACTTTTCGTTTACACATGATAAATTGATGCACGAAAGTGCTAAAAGGTGGTCAGGGCGTGCATACGCGCGGATGTACACGGTCGTCAACGTGTTAATACTTTTATTCCAGGTTGAAGTCACAAAGATCGCCGAAACATCAAGCATACATTTTTGGGACACCATGTATATGAACAGAGGCCCGCTAAAATCGAAATAAGATTGTTTTTACCAGTGTGATTGTTATAAATTTGATTACTTTTCGGTTTCATAACTGAAGTAAGTCTACAAATCATTTATTCTTTATTACCAAGGGATCATCTCATGTGGTATGGCATACGTCGACTACAATTCTTGTCAATGTTGTTGCTTCTCTGTAAGCAAACTCGAGATGAAAAAATGCCTAAGCATTCGAATATTTACGCACCTGCATTTGTAAGAACTTCGTAGGCATATTGGGCTTCTTTCCTTCACGCAAATAAGGCTTCCTAACATCCTGTCGTTAGCTAATATTAGCATCTATCTCCACATACAACCGAGAAAATTTCTTTTACACAATTTGAGGTTCTGCTCAATATCCTTTACACAATCATGTACATACCTAAATGGGTCGAAATCAAAAGTAGACAGTAGATATATTGCATGATTCTAGTTTGATAGAAGAGCTAGCACAGTTGCTCTACCAACATCTCTGCACTATGATCGGTATTGAAAAAGGAGCAGCAATGTGGAAGACAAGCGAAATATTGGATATCTAAAAATTGAGTTATGCTTCTAATCTGCTAGATTCTTTGTTCATTCACTAAATGTTCTTACCACTTTGATAACTACTCTCTTATTCAACATTTGAATAAGCAACCGAAGGACGTTTGAAAATTCCCGATACTCCACAGACAATTTAGGCAAACAGGAGTATAATGTATTTAGAGAATAAAAGCTGAAACACATATACAAGCAATACATCATTGCAAAGGAAATACACTTAATATCTTAAATATGTGCCGCCGTTTCGATGTTCTGATGGTCATCTGGAGCAGAGCCACTGTCATTTGATAGTGAATGAAGACGCTTGCTTCGATGTGATAGTTGATAAACGTGCGCTGTTTTTGGATAGATTGCGACACTTCC